CCTTCAAGGCTCAGGGGTCCAAGATTATCTTCTGTATCTGTGTTAATTGGTTTCCCTTTTCTTTGTTGAAGAGGGTCTGTGCAATCCTTCTGCTTAGTCCGCCATCTTGCCGGAACCCAATGTCTGATTTCTTGACTGCTGCTTCCATGGGTGTTGACTGTGGATCCAAGTAAAATGAAATCCCTGACAACCTCAGTCTTTTCCCCATTATCATATGTTGCTTATTTTGGTCCAGTTGTGAGGATTTTTGTTTTCTTTATGTTGAGGTGTAATCCATACTGAATACTATAGTCTTTGATCTTCATTGATCACTGATCCCACTTCCTCCTCATAGTTATCTCTTCCCTGTGTCCTTCCCTCCCATGTACTGCTGCTTGAAGTGCTTCAAGTCACCTTAATTTTTAGCAAGTAAGGTTGTGCCATCTGCATATGCAGGTTGATAGTAAGTCTTCCTCCAGTCCTGAAGCCACATTCTTCTTCATATAGTCCAGCTTCTTAGATTATCTAGTCAGCATACAGATTGAATAAGTATGGTGAAAGGATACAATCCTGAGACACACCCTTCCTGATTTTAAAGCATGGAGTGTCCCTTTGTTCTGTTTGAATGACTGTCTCTTGGTCTCTGTGCAGGTTCTTCAGGAGCACCATTAAGTGTTCTGGAATTCCCCTTCTTCACAATTTTATCTGTACTTTGTTATGAGCCATACAGTTGAATGCCTTTGCATAGTCAATAAAACACAGGTAAACATCTTTTTTGTATTCTTTGCTTTCAGCCAAGATCCATCTGATATCAGAAATGATATCCCTCGTTCCACATCCTCGTCTGAATTCAGCTTGCATTTCTGGAAGTTCCCTGTCAATATACTGCTGCAATCATTTTTTAATTATCTTCAGCAAAATTTTACTTGCATGTGATATTAATGACATTGTTCAATGATTTCCACATTCTGTTGGATCATCTTTCTTTAGAATGGGTACAAACACAGATGTCTCCCAGTTGGTTGACCATGTGGCTGCCTTCCAAATTTCTTGGCATAGATGAGTTAAGTGCCTCTAGTGCTACATGTGTTTGTTGAAACATCTCATTAGGTATTCCATCAATTCCTGGAGTCTTGTTTTTTTGCCAATTCCTTCAGTGCAGTGTGGACTTCTTCTTTCAATACCATTGGTTCTTAATCATATGCTACCTTCTGAAACAGTTTAACTTTGATCAATTAATGTTTTTTGGTATAGTGACTCTGTGTATTCCTTCCATTTTCTTTTGAGGCTTCCCACATCATTCAATATTTTGTTCATCCAAAAACAAAACCAAACTCACTGCCATTGAGTCAGATCAGACTCACAGTGACCTCTCCTTGGGTTTCCAAGGCAGTATCACTGCAGAAGTAGATTGCCAACCTTCCTTCTGAGGAGTGGTTGGTGGGTTTGAACCACCAGCCTTCTGATTAACAGTCAAATGCCTTTGGCACTACACCACCAGAGCTATTTTGCTCATATAATCCTTCAATATTCCAACTCAAGGCTGTTGACTTTTTCTTCAGTTCTTTCAGCTTGAGAAATGCAACCTGTGTTCTCCCTTTTGGTTTTCTAATTCTAGGTCTTTGCACATTTCATTATAATACTTTGCTTTGTCTTCTTGAGCTGCCCTTTGAAATCTTCTGTTCAGTTTTTTTATCTCATCATTTATTTCATTTGCTTTACCTACCCTCCACTGAAGGGCAAGTTTCAGAGTGTCTACTGATATCCATTTTGGTCTTTTCTTCCTTTCCTGTCTTTTCAATGACCACTTGCTTTCTTCATGTATGATGTTCTAGATGTCATTCCACAACTTGTTTGGTTTTGGGTTATTGGTGTTCAGTTCATCAAATTTATTCTTCAGATGATCTCTAAGTTCAGGTGGGATGTAATCAAGGTGTTATTTTGGTTCTCATGGACTTCTTTTAATTTTCTTCACTGTCAACTTGAACTTGCATATAAGCAATTGGTGATCTGTTCCACAGTCAGCTCCTGCCTTGTTTTGATTGGTAATATTGAGCCTCTCCAACACCTCTTTCCACAGATATAGTTGTTCTGATTACTGTGTATTCCATACCATCATGAGTATGGACCTGTTAATTGGCACTTATTATTGGTTAGCACACATTACTGATTCCAAACCTGAACCTGACAATGTCATGGATGCTGGACAGATATTTGCCCCTCCTGGATTGCTTTTTCTTTGTGGAGTCTGAAAATCCAACACTGAAAGTCCCCAAACTGCTACCCAGCTCCTAAAGCTGGGCTTTCTTTTGTTTGGATGGTTGGAGCATGACTGGGTAGTGCACTGTAGGGCAAGTCACTATCGTCTTCCAGGTATAAAGCCTCTCTGACAGTCATCTCCACCTGCATACTAGAGCCAGGAGAGGTTACATGAGGTTTTACAATGGGCAACAAATGGTGCCAAAATCTTTATCCCTGGTGTGGGAGTTGCCTCTCATGAACTAGTGCTTCACAACTGCGACTCCACGGGACATAACAACAACAACATTGAAGTTATATAATTAGGATGTATTGTGCCTTTTATGATGTGTATCCACACAAACCTATGATCTTGTATGATTTCCTGTACTGCAAACTGTATACAGTACCCAAACCAACATCATCTGAGCAGTCTTGGAGGAACCAGGCCCCAGTGTTCAACGAAATAAAAGTGGCCTTTGTAGTCCCCACCTCAATTTTTTGTTCATTGGAGACAAGCCATACCCAGCATTGTAGCTGCAACAGAGACTATGACCTCCGAAGGCTAAATATCTACTATCAGGACATTTACAGAAAAAGTTTACTAAGGCCTTACATTATCTGGCCCTCCATTACCTCTCTGATTTCATAATGTTTTTATTTTTTGTTTCTTCTCTATCTCCTTCCACCAGAACTTATCTTCCATAAAGTTAGGGATTCCCGCCCCCATCCCCCAGGGGCCAATTCTCCTGTTTACTGCCATATCTTCTAAATCTGGAACATTTCTTGGCACGATGTGGGAGCTTCACCAAATGTTAAAAGAATGAGGTGGCTAAGTCTCCCTCGAGGGTTTAGCCAGCCCTTAGCCACACAAGGTGGAAAAAAACCTTTAACCTAGAAGCCAAAAGAGATCGATCAATCGATCCTCTACTCGCCGAGGCTGTGGCCAACCGAGACGCGGGGATCGACTGGGAATGCCTGGCAGCGCGGTGGAGCGGAGCTATGTGGGAGGTGCGGGACAGCCAAGCAGGGATCTTCAGCGGCGCTGAGACGCCAGGCAATAGGGAGCGAGCGTGGGCCGCGGGGAGAGCATGCGCCTGGGTCAGGAGGGCGGGTGGGTCTCCAGGAGAGACTCAAGTTCGGTCCAGTCGCGGCAGGTGCGCTCCCTGGCTGGAGGTAGCCCTGCAGACGCGCGCCTGCCGGCTAGGGGAAGAAGTGCTTACCCACTGCGCTGGTTGCTGTAGCGGTGGCCGCGAAGCTTGTTCAAAAACGTCCTTTGACTTTGGGTGTTTCTTCAGGTTCAGGCCTGTAAGGCAAGAATGGCCCTGGGGGTGGCGGGGATACATCATTATTTCCCCCGGGAAAACTTACAGTTGTTTTATTCCAGGATGTGGAATAGTCAGTTTTTTCCTTTTTAAAAACTGATAATTTTGGTTTATCATCTCATTCATTGTATGTGGAGTGACACACTAAGATTGCGTGTGGGGCCCTAACTGAAACCATGATTGTCTCTCCCACGCTCACAGTACTTTTCTCATTCCAGGAGATGCCATTTCATGTTTTGAAGCTTGATTTTCTTTTATATTGTTGAAGTCACAAAAATGTTTTTTGATTCACATGTGTTTTATATTGTAGAAAGAAGAAATTGTCTAATTGAGGAACATGAAGTGAAATAGAATTCCACGTTTTATTATTTCAGGTCAAAAAAGTGAAAGAAAACCATTGCTATCTTGCATCTGAAATAATTTGTGTTTTGTTACTCAGAATACTCAATTTTTTAATACTCATGATGTCTGAAGAGAAATCTGACAAAAAAAGACCTCGTAGAAGTTTATCAATCAGCAAAATGAAAAATAAAGGATCTAATTCTATTATTTCATATTTTAAGAATGCACCACCTGCTAAGCTTGCCTGCCCCGTTTGCAGTAAAATGGTACCAAGATATGACTTAAACAGGCATCTTGATGAAATGTGTGCTAACAAGGATGGTGTCATTCATATTGACCCAGTTTATGTTGACTTAACTGATGCAAATGTGTCCACAATGGATTTAACCAATATTGCCTTAGAGGATGTAACACCAAAGAAGTCATTACCACTCAAGAGAAGTTTAACTCCTGGCCCAAGTGATTCAGCAAAAAAGATCATAAAATACCAGACCAGTCCCTACTTTAAAAGTAATGATAATTCTATGTACAGAAATCAAGATGACCTGAGAAATCATAACGTGAAAGTCATTCCTCTGGGAAGCCTGTCATCCAAATTGTCTAGAAAATACACAAAGGCTAAAAAAGCAATAGATAAGAATGAGGAGTTTGGGGATCATAGAGTTACAAATCCACAGAGTTCCCTATCCACAGTGGTTAAGAGCTTGGTGGACAACTATTCAGAGATTGAGAACAAGGATCAAATTTTGGAGAACTCTTCTCAAAAGGAAAACGTTTTTGGGTGTGACTCTTTTAAAGACGAGAATGTGTGTGAACATACAGGCAGTACAGTAATAGAGGCTGACAGCCAGAAGGCTACCCAAGAATGTGGGGAATCAGCCCTTACCCCTGGCTTCTCAGATAATGCTCTTGTATTATTTTCACCAGATTTAACTCTTGGGAATAAATTAAGGTCAACTTCACAAGACAATTTTGAAAAGCAGGAGAGGATCAAAGAAGTAGTTGGTAAAGGTGGTAAAAAATGTGAGGCAGATAGTTGTAAAGAAATAAAAATGACTGTTGCTACAGAAACTAAAACACAGTTGTCAAATTTGGAAGCAAAATCTCATAGTTCTGCAAATGATGCTTGTAAGTGGAGTAACATCCAAGCACTTTCTCTGGAAGGTGACAGGGTTTTACAGAATGAAATCCTTCACAGCTTTCCTTTGAAGCAGGGGCCAAGCAGTGATGTCCCTGATACAAAAACTCAAGTACCAATAAGTCATCCTTACTACCTTCGGAGTTTCCTTGTGGTGCTGAAAGCTGTACTTGAGAATGAAGATGATATGACGCTCTTTGATGAACATGAGAAGGGAATTGTAACTCAATTTTATCACTTATCAGGTATCTTAAGCCTATTTACTTTTGAGTTTTTGTTTCCCATTTACTGTCCTAATTTAGACAGTGATGTGATGGGCAGTCATCTGACAGCCAGAAGGACTCACTGTGGTTTTGTGAGTACGCTATAGGGTTTTTTTTTTTCTTCCAGATTTTAAATACATTTTATTGAAATATAATTTATGTACAGTGAAATACACAAAACTAAAGTGACATAGATCAATGCTTTTTTTTTTTTTTTTTGCAGTGTTCTTTCCCTTCCCCTCCCACCCTTGGTAACCAACAAAGTTTCCTTCCATATACGAACCTTTCCTTGACTTTTTACAATAATGAACTAATACTATACTTGTCCTTCCTGTGATTGACTTATTTCACTCAGCATAAAGTCCTCCAATTCATCCATGTTACATGGTGTTTTGAAGATTCTACATTTTTCTTCAGTGTTGCATAGTATTCCACTGTGTGTATGTACTATCATTTGGTTATCCATTCTTCTTTTGATGGACACTTAGGTTGTTTCCATCCTTTTGCTATTGTAAATAGTGCTGCGATGAACCTGGGTGTGCATATATCTGTACTTGTCCTGGCTCTCACTTATTTAGGATATATGGCTCTCACTTCTTTAGGATATATACCTAGTAATGGAATTGCTGGGTCAAAAGGTGTTTCTAAATTCAGCTTTTTAAGAAATTGCCATACTGCTTTTCACAGTGGTTGTATCATTTGACATTCCCACCAGCAGTGTATTAGAGTCCTGGTCTCTCCAAATCTTCCCAGCATTTGTTATTTTCTGTCTTGTTGAACTTTATAATTAGTGCTGAGGTGAGATGGTATCTCATTGTTTTGATTTGCAGCTCTCTGATGGCTAATGATCATCAGCATTTCTTCATGTATTTGCTGGCTGCCTGAATATCTTCTTTGGTGAAATGTCTATTCATGTCTTCTGCCCATTTTTTAATTGGATTTTAATCTTTTTGTTATTGAGGTGTTGGAGTTTTCTATAAATTTTAGAGATAAGTCCTTCGTCAGCTATGTTGTTGCCAAATATTTTTTTCCCATTTGTAGATTCTCTTTAAGTCTTTGATCCATCTGGAGTTAGTTTTTGTGTATGGTGTGAGGTGCAGATCTTGTTTAGTTTTTTTGCAAACAGATAACCAGTTTTGTCAGCACCATTTGTTAAAGAGACCACCTCTTGTCCTTTAATAGATTTCAGCCCTTTGTCAAAAATCAGTTGACATAGGTCGATAGATCTATTTCTGGGTTCTCAATTCTGTTTCACTGGTCTGTGTGTCTGTTGCTGTACCAGTACCAGGCTGTTTTGACTACCGTGGCTGTATGGTAGGTTTTGGGATCTGGGAGTGTCAAACCTCCTACTTTGTTGTTCTTCTTCAGTAGTACTTTGCTTATTCAAGGTCTATTTCCTTTCCATATAAAATTAGTGATTGTTTTTTCCATATCCTTAAAGAATGTTGATGGGATCTGGATGGGGATTGCATTCAACGTATAGATTGCTTTGAGTAGAATTGACATTTTCACAATGTTCTATTTTCCTATCCAGGAGCATGGTATGTTCTTATGTTTATGTAGTTCTCTTATGGTTTCTTGGAGTAGTGATTTGTAATTTTCTTTCTTCAGGTCTTTTGTGTCCCTTATGAGATTTATTCCCAAGTATTTTATTTTTTTGGTAGCTATTGTAAATAGAAGCTCTGGTGGTGTAGCGCCTAAGGCATTTGACTGCTAACCAGAAGGGTGGCAGTTCAA